CCTCGGTGTTGCTCCCGCATCTCGCTCAGCCAGTGAGCGGCCGGTCTTTATGTGGGATCCAAACCTTCGGCGGGAGCGCCGCCGCGCTTCCCAAGCGGCGCACTGTAGCAGTGCACCACCGGGCCGGCCCTCTGTTGTGTTTTTTATTTCATTGAATGAATCTTTCAGTTTCATGAGTTCTGCTACATTCTTTCCTTCAATTTTATTTCTAGTTGAATGTGGCTGGTGTAGAGGAAGGTCACAGATCTTTTTTTTTAACTTTTATTTTTTTGTTTTAGTTTTTTTATTGGGGGGCAGCAGCTGGCTGGTAAGGGGATCTGAACCTTCAGCCTTGGTGTTATAACACCATGCTCTAACCAAGTGAGCTAACTGGCCAGCCCTTGCTACGTTCTTTTCTTTGTAAATTTCCTTCTTCATATCCTGGATTTTTTTTTTTCTTGCTTCATTATGTTGTCTGAGTCTTCATATCTCAGTGAATTTCCTTAAGATTGTTGCTTAGAATTTCCTTAAAGTCATTTCAAGGATTTCCTGCTATAAAGGGTGTGATATTTGAGAATTACTGTATTCTTTTGGTGGTGTTGTATTTTCTTGGATTTCTGATTTCTAGTATCTCTCCGGTGATGTCTGGTCAGCTGGTAGAGCAGTCTCTTCTTCTGTTACTCTGGAGTGGGCTTTGAGGGGAGATACATCCTCTTCTTTTTCTGGTCTCTGTTGGTGACTCTCCTGTGTCAATGCAGTTGAGTGTCTGGCAGGCAACCTGCACAGTGACTGTAGCTGCTGTTGTGGTGTCAAGACCACTTTTGCAGCAGCCGTGGCTATGGCATTGGCTGTGGTGGGTCACCTATGCAGAAGTGGTGTTTCTGGTGTGTTCCTTGCCTGCTTCGAGGTCGGGGATGCTGGCTTCAGCTCCTGCCTAGGACCTTGGCGTGTTCCTTGCCTGCTTCCAGGCAGAGGGGGCCGCCCTTGGCTCCTGCCTAGGACCCCAGGTATGCTCCTTGCTGAATATGGAATTTTTATTCACAGTGCAATTCATAAATTATCTTGTTTCTTTTTGTTTTATTATATCATTATATGTTTTATTAGTGTTCCTGGCTCTTCCACAAGATATATGACCTTAGGCTAATTATTTATCCTGCACATCATTGGTTTCTCACTGTGAAATGCTGGTCCCAAAGGGTTATCATGATAATTAAGTGAAATAAAATTTGTAAAGTGTTTGTGCTCTGTAATAGTAGCTTTAATTTATTGACAGTTAGGCATAAATTGTGTTTTCCTTCCCTTTTTGCTAAGTTCTGATACTGTCCTGGTGGGGAACCTTGTAAAGTCTCCCTAAGTGAAATCAATTACTCCTTCCTTTGTTCTTCCATGACACATTGCTGTTACAGATATTTTATTCATTTATTTATTTATTTTTTATTTTAGGAAGGCATAGTTTGCTAGTTAGGATATTAGTATTGAATGTGATATGCCATCTGTATGTTCTATAAAACAAAGTTCTCAGAAAATTAAAGACTGATTCACTTTCTCAGTACTGCAAATCATCTGACACAAAATATTTTTATACTTCGAAAACTATTACAAAGCATGATTGTTGTTTTCATTTTATTCATTAAATCTCAGTTGCACCTTACAGTGCATTATAATATTGAACATTAAGCAACTAACAGTCCAAAAACATGTAGTTTTTTGTAAATCAATTAATCGTAAAGCCCTAATAGGTTGTGATGGTAATTTAGGGAGAAGTGTTTACAGTCTGTTCTTTCCTGTTGTGATTCTGTTCCTATGTATGCTATACGAAGTTATTACGTTTATTTTTTATTTTCTGCGGCTGGCTAGTACAGAGATCTGGACTCTTGACTTTGGTGTTGCCATGCTCTCCCAATTGAGCTAACTGGCCAGTCCCAGATATTTTAGGACTAAATATTTATTTCATGCTCACGGGCTCTTCTTCAGTCTGTAAGCTTCCTGAGATCTGAAAGCAGTGATCATGCTTTGTCTCTTTGTTGCTCATGTTGCTTAGTGGCACATAGTAAGCCCTCAGCTGAATGAATATATGAAAAAATGATTTTTTTGGGGGATATCTAAGGAACAGTGGTATGGCTGATAAAAATAAAGAGAAATGCATATATGACTATTTTATTTATATTTTTTAGTAAAAATTGAGGTCAATTTTAAGTGATAGCTGAAGTAATTGCTTCTGTTTACATTGTAATAATATAAAATGGAATTTATTTTTTTATTATTATTTTTTTTTAAAAGATGACCGGTAAGGGGATCTTAACCCTTGACTTGGTGTTGTCAGCACCACGCTCACCCAGTGAGCCAACCGGCCATCCCTATATGGGATCCGAACCCGCGGCCCTGGTGCTATTAGCACCGCACTCTCCCGAGTGAGCCACGGGCTGGCCCTAAAATGGAATTTATTAAATGTAAGCTGACTGTTGATAAAGTTTAAAAATTATTTTTGAAAATCAAATGCAGATTTTACTTGAAAGTATTAGTGTCGTGAAATCATCTATTACATATATTCTTTTACATATATTTATAGTTGTCATTAGGCTTCTCTTAGGAGAACACACTATTCTCTTATTTGATCAAAATGTTTTGAAGTATGTGTTTACATTAAAGAGTTAGGAAACTACCTCAGGGAAAGAAGACAATTTTCTTACAACAGGCAATTATAAATGGTTCAACTCCAGGTTTACATTACTAATCATTCTTATTCTTTCAATTATTTGTTTAGACGATCTTCCTTGTATCATGTAGTAATTTTTTTTTAAGCCGTTTAATCTCAAAATGTGCCCATTACAAAGCAAGGCAGAAAGAAATGAATCGATCTAAAAACCGAGTCTGTATTTGCCTTATTGGATATTCCTAATACTAACACTCTTCATGCAGGTTGATTTGCACAAAATATCTTCAAAATGACTTCTCTAGGAATTTTATTGTGTGGGACTTTGGAAAAGTTACTTCATTTTTCTGAGCTTCAGTTTTCTTTGATAGGTATAGAAATAATAGATTACTTTTAAGAAGATTTATTATTAGGCAGAGGGTTTGGGGAGAGGAAATGCTAATAGACTCACAGCTTTCAGAGGAGACTGAGTTGCATTTATATGGACAATTGGGATGAGAAAATACCACAAGGTTTTTATTGTTACTGTGATGGTTAGAATCATTGTTTTTTTTTGGTGGCTGGTTGGTACATGGATCCTAACCCTTGGTGTTACAAAGTGGTGCTCTAACCAACTGAGCTAACCAGCCAACCCTGTTAGAATAATTTAAACACAATAATAAAGGTGTGGGACAAGAAGACCATGGAGTTATTCAGATAGATACCTGTTGGCCCAAATAGTGATGATAGATCAAGAAAATGTTTAATATTTAACAAATTGTTGATTAGGTCATATACTTTTAGAGTGGGAAAGGACCTTATAAATCATGTCGTTCTGGGCCGGCCCAGTGGCGCACTGCTACAGTGCGCCACTTGGGAAGCGCGGTGGCGCTCCCGCCGAGGGTTCGGATCCCACATGCAGACCGGCCGCTCACTGGCTGAGCGGGGGGCGGCCGGTCTCAAAAAAGGACAAAAAAAAAAAAAAGAAAAGAAAATATAAATTTATGTATTCTTTTTTTAAAAAGATGACCGGTAAGGGGATCTAAACCCTTGACTTGGTGTTGTCAGCACCATGCTCTCCCAAGTGAGCGAACTGGCCATCCCTATATAGGATCCGAACCCGCGGCAAGCAGCGCTCCCAGAGCCGCACTCTCCCGAGTGCGCCATGGGCTCAGCCCATAAATTTATATTTTCTGAAACACTGGGAAAAAAGCACTACCTTACTCACCAAATGACACTCATTAAGTTTCTTATTTTATAGAATCTACTATGGAGAAAAAAAAACAAAAAAAAAAA